CCTGCGGAATAGAAAGGCAACTTTTGTATAAACTAAAACAAAAATTTAACTTTTCAGTTTTATGACAAAAATAAAATGCAAATTATTGTTTTAGAGATGCGCTGAGGATCAAGGAAGATATCGAATATATTCTTTCAGCCGAAAGTCAGGGATCTGAAGTGATTGACGACTATTCGTCTCCTGTACAGTTGATCGATAGTGAACTAGCAAAGATTTACGCGAACAGCGACCGAGCACGACAGGATTTCCCCGAGTACCCGTTATTGCTGTGGCAGGCTATCAGTCTGGCGAGACGTATGCAGGACCCATTGCTGGAGTTCTGCCAGGTGTGCGCCAACGGTGAAGATATTCTGGCACTGAAGTACCATCCGCTACAGTCAATGGTGCCGAAGACCGAATTCATGCAGGCGTTGTTGCTCGAGTTCGTCAACCGAGTGAACGAAGTAGGCGTGGACGTGAACGAGTGTCTGGAGCACCCGCACAAAGCGTTCGTGCTACAGTTCGTATGCGGCCTTGGACCTCGCAAGGCTTCCTATATCCTTAAAGTGCTGCGCGAGCACGACGGTATGCTCGAAAACCGAACGAAACTCGTCACCGTCTGTCGCATGGGTCCTAAGGTGTTCATGAACAGTGCCGGCTTCATCAAAATCAACACGTTCGAAATCGCTGAGAAAACCGACGGATACGTCGAGGTACTCGATGGATCTCGAGTACATCCGGAGACTTATGAGTATAGCTTTATTTTTAGACACTGATGAGTTTCACTGTAATGGCACGGATTTTCGTCAACGTCATTTGTATCATAAAACTCCTTATCGTCATCTATTGTGGTGCTATTTCCATCTTTGTACTGTTTTCTATTGAAATCTTCCACTCTTTAGAATCTCTTTTCTGCCTGATGGCAGTTCCTTATCCTGCTATGGGAGGTAAAATTTGTTTCCCTGCCGTTAATCTTTTCATCATCGATTATTCTCAGCAGTTTTGTTTACAAGCCTGCAGTTAAATGCTCAGGTGTCTTTCATGTTCTTCCTTAAAGTTTTTGCAACGCTCTTCGCTTATTGATAAGTTCTTTCATTTGCTTCGTAATTTTTTGTCGATCTTCATAAACCGTGTTCTGGAAATGTTTCCCGCGGTTTCTGTAACTGCTTTTATTATATCTTAATACACAACGTTAACTACGTCTCTAGCGATTTCTTGTTGTTCTTGCATTCCTTGGAGGACGTCGAATCTGTTAGTTAATTTAAGTTTGAATGGCCAGAGTTTCCTCTTTAGTGTTTCCATATTGAGTATCGTGCTTCTTGTCCTCAGCAATTTTTTTATTTCAAAAGCTGAGTCCGGTCACAGTATTTTACTAGGTGGTATGTCTAACCTAAATAAATTAGTTTAAAGATCGTAACATTTTTAAAACGGAATTGAAGTTGATCTTTGTTTCCTCGATGTCTTGCACTGCTCTAGGAAATATGTCAGTTAGTGCATGCTGTCACCAGTGTTATCATCCCTTACTTTCTGTCTCGTAAATGTCTTCTAAATGTCACCGCTGTGTCTGTAATCGTAGGATCGTACTTGACAACTTTTCGGGACCTTAGTATATTTAGAAACTTGTGTTAATTATCGGAACTTTGCATATGTGGAAAAGTACATAATCGTAAATAGTAAGTAGTAAAAAAAGTACGTAAACCTATATTGCTGTATTTTTGTCGTTTGCTGGTCCATGAAATCCACAGAGTTCGTAGTTGAGTTATGACATAAGTGTTAAGTTTTAGGTTTCATTAATAAGGCACCTTTTTTGGGCACCACTTGCATATCTCGTCATCCTGGCAGTGTCCTGTTATTTTTATGCACCTTTACACTCGTTTCCAGGTTTCCATTTATGAAAATAGGAAATCGGTTATTGATAGTAATGAATCATTTAATCGACCGAGCGTTTGCAAGACCAAAGATTATAGCTTAGATGATACTTTTGTCTTCCTCCGTTAATCAGCTGTTGTTTTAACGAATTTCTGTTGATAATGCATTTAATTCACTGTATTTTAGGTGGGCCCGAAAAATGGCTGTAGACGCACTTGAATATGACGACACCTCTGAGGACGCGAATCCTGCTAGCGCCTTAGAGGAGATACTTGAGGCTCCTGATCGTTTGAAAGACTTAGATTTGGACGCCTTTGCGAAGGAACTACAACGTCAGGTTTGTGAGGGGCTCCATCGCTTAAATTTGTTTGATCGCGCGCTCGTCATTGAGGATAATATTTCAGGGATACGGAAACAAGAATATAACGTTGTATGACATCCGCGCTGAGCTCAATCACCGCTATAAAGACCTGCGTGTTCCGTACAGACCTCCTACGAAGGAGGAGGTATTCAATATGCTCACAAAAGAAACGCCTCAAACATTTAACGTCGGTATGTGAAGGGCAACGAAAGACGTTTTGGCGAGTATATGCTAGTTGTTTTGATTGTTGTTTACTTCAGGAAAGTTGGTCATGGGTAGGGTGATTAACATCGTCTACCGAAGGCCTAAGATTGACCAGCTCGAACAAACGAACCCTGTTAGAAACGAGGGTACCGGTCTGTGGCAATGCCCATTGTGTTTGAAAAACGACTTTTCGGAGCTTAGTGAGGTACGAAACGCTCGTACATGCGTATCTATGTAACGTAAGTTGTCTCACTTCCAGGTGTGGACCCATTACGATACAAATCAGTGCCGGGGTCAGGCGGTAGGCATCCGTGTTCGCTTGGAAAATGGCATAATCGGATTCATTCCTATCAGGTTCCTTTCAGATAAGCGAGTCGGTAATCCAGAGGACCGCGTCTCGGTAAAAAGATATTTTTTATAGCTCTGGTTATCTGAGGTACCGCATGCTTCTTTGACAGATCGGAATGCCGTTGTACTGCCGTGTTTTGAAGGTGGACACCGATCGCTTCACGGCAGAGCTTAGTTGTCGATCTTCTGACTTGGCTGACAGGGAGTTCCAGTTCAGGTTGGCTTTGAACGTGTTCATAAAATCGATCTTTGCTTAGGCATGGTTTAGACTGTGCTTGTTTGTTAATCTGATTTGTTTATATACTTACCGTTTCTGAAACTAAAGATACAGCACAATTCCTTTAAAATAGAATGTATAGATAATTTTGCAGAACGATCAAAGAGCGACAACATTTCGATTTTTCATGAGCCTTTAGAATTAGTTTGTTTCATTCGTTCGGACTGTTCGTGGTACAATCTGTAGCCTTTAATTTCGAGTTCGCTGTTGTTCTGTGAACCCAAAGGCCTTAATCAGAAAAGTTTATTGGTAGAGTTCGCAGAAGTGACACATGGTCACTGAAGTGTTGACATTCGTCTACGATTACATCAAAATAGCTGACAACAGGAACTGTATTTATATTTTGATCCTCTAGCGAAATTGAGGTATCGAGGGAGTTCATTTAACCCATTTTTATTACAGGATTATTTTCTAAGCAGAAATTACATTTTATTAGTAGCAACATTCGCTGGAGATGACAGTTTTCAGCATACGTTCATAGTATAGAACGCCTCTGGGACACATGCCGAGAGGGCTCTCTATTAACTGTCTATGTCATCCTTCATTCCAATGATTCGCTACGTAACGTACGATTTACGATCGCATTTGTTTGTTTATGGTATTCTGAGTGACGTGAATGATCTGTTTTCTTTTGCGTTCCTGAAGTCGTCCATTCGTCGTAGTCTGGATCGTGTGAAGTTTAGCCTTTGTGTTGTCATTCGTTTTTCTGATATAAACGATGTTGTAACGGCATCTCGCTGTACTTTCTTCAGGAATTAACACGGCCAGTATCCCTTCAGTTTTTTCATTAGAAAACCAATTTTACTCTGACTGCTAGCTCACAAAGTTCATAAAATTTCAGATTTTTGACTCTGGTCTCATTTATGGAATTGTAAAGAATTTGTTGTCTGTAGTTTGTTTCATTCATGCAAACTCGCTACAGTAACTACTTCAAATCTATATATCTTTATTGATGGTTTGTCTCTAACGTAATTTCTGAATCATTTTCCAGTCTTTTCACCACTTTGATCCTTGTTTTCAGACCTGGCAAAGACTACTACTACGACTTCAAGGCAGAGGAAGAGGACAGGAGGGAAGACGAGGCGGTGAAAGCGGCCAAGGAGCAGTACTACGTGAAGCGAGTCGTCGCACATCCGTGCTTTCGCAACTGTACTTTCAAAGAGACTCAGGCTTTGTTGACTAACATGGAGCAGGGTGATGTGATTGTGCGACCTAGCAGCAAAGTGCGCACAACATTTTTCAAACGTTCGTCTTGAATGCTATTAGTCGCCTCTCTTAGGGTAGCAATCGATTGACAGTGACGTGGAAAGTGACCGACAACATCTGTCAGCATATAGATGTTCGAGAAGAAGGCAAGGAAACCGCATTCAGTCTCGGCCGCCTTCTGTACATTGGTGAAGAGGTAGGTTGCAAAGCAGTGATATGGCTCTACTTATCAGTCAGTACGCATCAATTATAGGTGCTCTCTGAACCAAGGAAATTGACTTAGTAATGCCATATACAGTAATCAGCAGATGTGGTGTAAACGTTTACTCAAGTTCATATTAATCCATTGCCGAAGCGTGGATCAGTGATCCTTCAACTTCAATTGTTGGAAATACAACATAATTTAAAAGGCTTTTTAACAAATGGCACAATGGGTGAACAAGTTTATTTGACTTATTAAAGCCATAGAGTTTAGTTCATTTTCTTTTTTAGCAGATGCTGCTGCGTCTTTTCGGTTAGAGCTGGCACAATGCCCATCATCCATCAAGGTCACAATGAGTAAAGTAAATAAATAACAGCATACATCATAAGCTGGCCAGAATCAAGTACTTGTTCAAGTTAGGTTTATTAGCTGATGTAACGAACGTTGCTGTCATAAAGAAGCATGAAGTTCTTGCATGGCAGTAATGTTTGCCATTGAACCTTAGCAAATCATTTTAGGTTTAATACTATTTCAGATTAATAGTTGATGACATATAAGGATATAATGATACAGCATTGTGCAGTTTAGTGCGTTGGTTTATCGCCTTGCGTCATCTTTGATTGTATCGAGCGTTCGTGACCTGCTCCTTTATAGGTGTTCGAAGATCTGGACGAAATTATCGCTCGTCATGTCCAGCCGATGGCTGCGAATGCCAGGGAGCTGCTCAATTTCAAATATTACCGTGACTCTGACGGCGGAAGTAGCGAAATACTCAGCGCGCAGCTAAAAGAGGAAAAACAGAAGAATCCCAGTAGAATCCCGTAATATTGGATAATTTGTTATTGTTTATCTTTATTATATCTAGCCTTTCGTCTCCTAACATTTTGATAACTATATTTATTTGGAAACATTTGATTTTTTGTTAACATTCAGACATGCAAAGAAAACATCCGTTTTTCATAAACACTTTCAGTTAGATTAAAACTTCAGTAGTTGGGTTTAAGGGTTGAAAGCCACGATTCAATTAATTTCTGAAAGAAATCACAATGAAATTGTTAACAGTTGGTGGGAAAGTTGGCCAGAACAGCTGGGCCGGACGAAACTTGATTTTTGAAATGAAGGAATGACAAGAGGGTTGGGGTACTCTACTAATAA